CACTATTATTTGTCTGTTTTCCTGAGAAACTATCTTGTAGATAACAATATGTAAAACAATAACCATTGATAATTTCCTACCACTTTGTCTGTAATTTGGTAAGCCCCCCCCTATTATTATGTTATCCTTCTTTTACTCTTTAAAAAAAAAAAAAAAAGTAGATTTGGAGGAAACAGCTAGTTATCAAATGGTTAAAATGAATATGAGACCATGACTCCTAAGCCATGCACTAGGTATCATTTTGCTCCCTGTGTAAAATGAGGTGATTTTACACAGGATTAAAAGTGTTAGGCCATGTAGCACTTAGAATCAATGTGGCAGCAGCAAGTCATACCAAGTAGTAGCTATTATGTCAGCCATAATCAATTACAAAATCCAAGGCAAAGAATATTTGACTTACAATTATAAAATACATCTATCAAAACCTAGAGATTAACCTATAAAATATCATGCATTACATGTTATTAAATAAACTTTCCTGAGAGATCTAAAATTAATAGACAACAGCCGTTTTTTGGTAACAGCTGAAATCTAGAAATAATCCAGATGTCTACCACCAGAGAGTGTTGAATAAAGTATTGTCATGCAATGGAATACTAGTAACAAGGAAAGCAAACAAATCCCAGTATGTAGCAGCATGGATGAATGTTATTAAATAAATTTAATAACATGCATTAATATTAAATAATATTTAATAACAGGTAGTACATGTTATTAAACTTTTCTGAGAGATCTAAACAAAAACTCGCCTCCAGGGAGAGCCATGATGGATTTATAAAGAGAACATCATCCCAATTGGGGTTGAACAATTACTCTGAAAAAATAACCTGGCAATGACACTAATGATAAAAGTGACAGCAGGAGTGAGCATTCGGCACGCACTGCGTGCATGTGACTAACATCCTCACTTCTCAGACAGGAACTTGAGGCTGAGCCGTTAAGGAAATCGCCCAAGCTCCGCAGCTGGGATGTAAATCCACACGTCAGAAACCCAGAGCAGGGTCTCTCTCACTCTGCAAACCATGGCAAGCCGCAGGAGAGACACGAAGAGCAATAGCATGGAGGAGCGTGTGGGTCAAGTGGTTAGTTACCGTGAAGGAGCCATCACCACAGGCCCCGTCCACACAGTTGGATCCACTCCCTTATCTAAAGATAGCGGGTCCTGAACTGAGTGTTGGGGTTTGCATATTTTGTCTGCGTTTAAAAATCATATAAATAGAATCACATATTCTGTTGTGTCTGGCTTCTATCAATAGTGTCTTCACAACATTCATCCATGCTGCTACATACTGGGATTTGTTTGCTTTCCTTGTTATTAGTATTCCATTGCACGATAATACTTTATTCAACACTCTCTGGTGGTAGACATCTGGATTATTTCTAGATTTCAGCTGTTACCAAAAAACTGCTGTTGTGTAGAGTTTAATTCTGTTAGAGTTTAATTCCGCCTGCTCTAGGAAATTATATAAAATGTTGCTGTGACATATATACAGATAATGGTACTGGGAATTAAACCCAGGGCCTTTGCACTGAGCTACATTGCTAATCCTTCCTTAACTTTATTTTTGAAACAGGCTCTTGCTAAATCACTAAATTGCCCAGGCTGGTTTTGAATTTATGCTCTTCCTACCTTGGCCTCCCAAAATGTCGGATTACACAATTCATGTATCACCATGCCCAGTTGGTGACATACATTCTTTTTTTTTTTTTTTTTTGGGGGGGGGGGTTCCAGTACCGGGAACCGAACTCACGACCTTGCGCTTGCCACACAGGTGCTTTTGCCGCTGAGCTAAATCCCCAGCCCCTGGTGACATACATTCTTTTGTGCCTGGCCTCTATCAATGAATCTGATGTTTACAAGTCTCTCATGCTGTTATATTTATTGCCACT